TTTTAGTTGTCCAATTAATTTCTTTCTATTTTTAGTAGAGACGGGGTCTCGCTCTTGCTCAGGCTGGTTTCGAACTCCTGAGCTCAAACGATCCTCCCGCCTTGGCCGCCCAGAGAGCTAGGATTACATGCGTGAGCCACCGCGCCCGGCCTTGGTTTCTCTTTTTAAATAGAAAATAGTCCAAGTGCCAAAGCATAAAGACAGGGCTTGCCGAGGAGACAGTCCCTGTCAGGGAGCCCATTCTAGCGCCTTCTCCAGGAGGATGGGGCCTGGAACAGGGCAAACCTGCTCAGCCCGCGGAAGCCCCTGTGTCCGCTGAGCCTGCCTGGAGGTGGCTGTGTGACCCCCGGCAGTGCCTGGCTGGGGCGAGGTCGTGCCCTTGGTACAGGCAGTCGCAGGATGTTACTTTGTTCCAGCTAAAGATGCGGGGCTTGCGTTGGGGAGAGGATGGAAGTACCAACACCACTTCTGGACCCTGAAGCCCCAGCTGGCAAGGGGTCCCTGGGGTGCCTGGTGATGCACCCCTGCCTCGCTAGCCCCCACCCTGGCCCCTGCTGCTCCACTCGTGATTCTGCTCGAGGCTGGCGAGTGGGCACGGTGCCCACAGAGGCTGCAGCTCGGGGGCCGCTGGGCTGGCACTGTGATTTGCAAACGTTTCAGCCCAGAGGTTTCCTTTGTGAAGGAAACCTGCGTGGTAAAATCCATAGAACGTGAAGGTCACCATGGTGACCACTGTAACATACATACTTCAGCACTTTGTGGTGCGTTTACAGTGTCACGTGGTGTCACCACTGCGCGTCCCAGAGCCCTTCCAGCTCCCCCGGAGGAGCCCCATGTCCATCTGCCAGCCCCGCAACGGCCAGTTCTCTGTGAATGGAATCGCGCACTGTGTGACCCGTGCGTCTGGTTTCTTTCTCCCGTGAGGTTTTCAGGGTCCTCTGCGTTGTGGCCTGTGCGGGAACTTCACTCCCTCTTCAGGCTGAACCCTAGTCGCGCTGCACAGGGACCACTCTCAGTCGGTGGACACCAGTTTCCGCCTTTGCCGATCGTGAGCAGAGATGTGTGGACATTCACGGGCAGCCCTGCGTGCAAGTTTAGGTCCTGGCGAAGGGGCTCCGAGCTCCTCCCTTGGCCTGCTCCCCACACGCAGCTGCCCAAGACTTGGGACGCGGCGTGAACCGGGGCCGCGGTGTGCAGGGGTGCAGGCAGCGGTTGCGGAGCAAGCCCGTCCCTTCCTCCCTGCAGGTCTATTACCTGGGAGAGGGGGAGGCCTCGAGACAGTGGCTGCAGCAGGAGCAGAACAGCAAAGCCAAGCTGTGTCTGTCCCACATGAGGGCGGTGGCCAGCCACGTGCTGGCCCAGCACCCCCACGTGACACCCCTGGCGTGGGACGACATGCTGCGGGACATGCCCGAGGACCAGCTCACAGGTCTGCCGCACAGGGTGGGGCGGGGCCGCTTGGCTGCCCCAAGACCTCCGACCCCAGAGACAGAACACACCGTAGGAAACGGGCCCCGAAGGGAGCTAACTCGGCTCAGACCCGCGCTACACGTTCTCGCGTGAAAATGCCAGCGGAGTCATTCCCCTGGAAGTCGTTGTAGGGTCTAGCGAGAGTGGCAGGTGTGGGCTGCAGAGTCGCCACAGGCCTGTGGGGGCCACGGGTGAGGATCCAGGGCCGGGCCGTCACTGCTGCTGCGTCCACAGGGCATGTGTGCCCCAGGGCTGCTCCGTCCTGGCAGCCACCAAGGTTAATTGAGATTCATTAGAACTAACCCCATTTAGCAGCATGTTGGGTGCACCGGGCGTGTGGCCCCCACAGAGAGGGCAGCAGGTAGGATGGTCCACCCCACAGAGCTGCGGGGCCATCGTGCCTAACCCAGGCCAGCTGGGTAAAGGTGCTGTGTGTGGTTGTGGCTTTTTGTCTCCAAAAGCGCAGCACAGTGCTGAGTCTGCCCCAAGATGATGGGTTATGCTCCCATTTTAATGCAAAACAAGTGCGTCCGCGGGGCTGGGACATGGTCTGGACGCTCCCCGGCACTCACGGCCCCTTCATCCACAGCGTCGGGGGTGCCGCAGCTGGTGGAGCCGGTGCTCTGGGACTACGCGGCCGACCTGGACGTGCACGGCAAGGGTCAGTGCCAAGTCGCAGGGGATACCCGGGGCACGTGGCTGTGTCTGGGCAGGGCCCCCCATCCCCGCGACCCTGCAGCCCCGCCTGCCGAGCCTCCCCACAGACCCACCCCGGGGAGCCCGGCAGCCCCTGGACAGCGCCCTTCGCGGCTGCCTTCTGCTCCCATTGTCCAGAGCGTCTCCCTGCCGGGCAGGTAAAGTGGGGCCACCGCTCGAGTCTCTCCGCCAGCAGGATCCAAGCCCGGCCGTCACTGCCCTCCTATTGTTGGGTCTGGACGGGCACGTGGCCCAGGTTGCGTGTCTGGGGCCCTGGCGGCCACCTCCACTGGAGCGGCTCACCGCCTGCTTTCTCACGCAGTGCTCCTCATGCAGAAGTACCGGGAGTGCGGCTTCCGGAGGCTGTGGGCTGCCAGCGCCTTCAAGGGCGCCACGGGGCCCAGCCAGGCCCTGACCCCAGTGGAGCACCACCTCAGGAACCATGAGCGCTGGCTGCAGGTGGCGGCCAGTGGGCCAGTGGACTCGCTGCAGGGCATCGTCCTGACCGGCTGGCAGAGGTAAGCCTTGGGCCGGCCGTCCTGGGGGAACAGCTCAGGGGAAGCAGCCAATGGGAGTTGACCCCGCACGCCCGTGGCCCCCGTGCTCAGAGTCACGAGCACGTGGCCCCTGCCTGTGAGCTCCACATGTGAGGCTGTTTGTGCCTCGTGGACGGCAAAGCAGGAGGGATTTGGTGGGCAGGTCGGGGCCAGCTCACAGCCCACCACGTGCCCAGAGGCAGCAGCTAGCACTGCAGAAGCATCTAGGGGCTCCTGGTGTCCGGCCCTGCGGGGCAGGCATCTCGGTCTGGATTAAACCAGGCAGCCTGGAGCAGGGCAGAGCCGCCCTGAGGCTGGGATCAACCGAGGCCTCTCTGGCCATGACGTAGGTGCCAGTGAGCCGTCGCCTGCTCACACCTGGGGGCAGTGCCTGTCTCCACCCAGCTTGTAGCTGAAGAAACTGGGGCACAGGTAGGGGAGGTGCCCAGCCCGCCAGTGGGGGCCTAGACCCCGCCCTGGGCCAGGCCAAGCCCCTCAGCCGCTGCCCGGGACTGACGCTGCCCTGACCTGCCGCGCTTGCCCCACCTGTCGTGGGCCTTGGGGAGAAGCTGCCGCCCCAGCTGGTGGGGAAGGGGAGGGCCCAGAGACCCTAGATGGGGTGAAGGGGACAATGACAGGGACACCCCAGGTCAGACAGCCGGCGGCGGCAGAGCTGAGCCCCCTCCACGGACACAGGCATGACCACTTCTCCGTGCTGTGCGAGCTGCTTCCTGTGGGGGTCCCGTCACTGGCAGCCTGTCTGCAGTTGCTCCTCCACGGTACGTCTCGTCCGCCGCCCCAGCCCTGCCGAGTCCTCCCAGAGAGACTGGCAGAGAGGGAGGGCGGGAGGCCGAGCACCCGGTGCCCCCGACCACTCGGGCTGGACTGTGGCCCTCCCTACACGCGGATGGGCGCATAGCCCCAGCTCTGCCACCACCCGCCACCAGCGCCGCTGGACCCGCACCCAGGTCCTCAAGGGGACCCACGGAGAAGCGTGTGCCTCGGGGAGGGGGGCAGCGCTCGGCCTCTGCGGCATGGATGTCTCGAACGCCTGGTCATGTGGGTGGAGACAGGAGCGGGGGATGCTTCTCTGGGCAGGGAGGGCCTGGCGGGAGGAACCCTGCTGCGTGCGCCAGGGGACTGCGCAGGGACTTAGGGTGGCGTCTGCGGAAAGCTGTGGCTCACGCGTGCAGCGAGGCGAAAGGAAGTGCAATACTGTGACTTCCCAGCCTTTCTGACGTGTCGACACTCAGCTGTGTGGAACGAGCAGAAAGGCGCAGAGACACCAACCTGTCCCCCCGGAGATGTGCGAATGTTCACGGTGTCTGCTTCAGCTCTCCCCGGTTTTAAGAAGGGACCTTCCCGTCCTGCTGTCCTGGGGTCGGCCATCTGTTGTTCCTTCTGGCCTTCACGGAAGAATGGGGCCAGCCTTTTGCAGCGAGTGTTCCTCTCGCACACCGGCGTGGCGCCCGTCCACGTCGGTGCCTGCAGCAGCCCTGGACACGGTGCAGTAGGGCTCCACCCAGCAGGAAGGGCCACGTGCCGTCCCGGTGGTGGTGCTGCCGCGTCACATCCTTACTTCTATTTTCTGACTCTTAAAATAACGAGCACGTCTCATGTGTTTAGTGAGAAGCGGCAGGGCTCGCGTCCCCCTGCTCCCCTGCAGAGCCCCCCGCCGCTTCCAACTGCACTTGATTGCAGGAGGATTCACCGAAGATGTCAAACTGAGAGTGGAGAACCTTCTCGGGGTTTCAAGCCTGGAAACAACCGATCCTGTAGGGTAAGCCCCCGCCCCTCCCAGCCCTCCCCTGTCGTGGGGCAGCCCTTCTCAGCGTGGCTCTCCGCAGTGAGAGGGCCGGCTCCTTCCCTGGCAGCGACATCCTCAGCCTCGTTGCGCACTTCAGCCTGCACCTACGCAGCTCCGTGGACGCGCTGCTGGAGAGGAACAGGTGGGTGGTGGGAGCGCCCCACGACCCCCAGCTCAGGGGAGCAGCCTCCTCCCTTGCGAAGACTTTCTGGGGGGAAAAGACCTTTAGAAATGTGTACCAGATTCTTAACAGTCTTCCCAGAGGCATTCTGTAAGACCACCCCAGGACTGCCCAATAGCCGCTGTCGGCCGCGCAGTGCCCGGCCCCGCAGGCGCACCAGCCTGGGGTCTGCCCAGCGGGTGCACCTGTCTGAGGGCCGGCCTATTGGGCACACCTGCCTGTGGGTCTGCCCAGGTATGTGACTGGCTGGTTTAGCTCCTACCACCGCAGTCGGAAGCTCATCCACCCCGTCATGGTGCAGCACATCCGGCCCGAGGCTCTCAGGTAACCCCCCGGCAGCCTGTCCCCCACGTGGCAGCACCGCTGCAGTGCTGGGCTTTGAACCAAGGCAAGCTCTCTAGGAGTTGCAGCCGTAGGTTAATCCCTCCCTCGCTGGAAGAGACATGCCAGCGCTTGCTGATGCTTCCTGAACGTTAGAGCGAGATGCTGGGTCTTAGATGCCTGGGCAGGTGTGGGGCTCCTCCCTGGACTCAGACCACCTGGGCTGTGCCCCTGCACTCTCCCCGAGACAGACAGACTGCCCCCCAGGGAGCGCAGATGCTGCCAGCTGCCACAGGTTCACAGGCCACCACAGAAAACTCTGCCAGCTCACTGCGAAGTGCATTCCTGTGTGGGATGCCCAACTGTGACAAATTTGCTCACTTCTTCCTCCCACAACCTAGGGGCCAGTAGTCCCCCTTTACAGATGGGTAAACTGAGGCACAGAGCAGTGCTGGCCCACGGGGCTGAGGACTCGAGTGCAGAGTGCTTAGATGTGAGCAGTCCCCAGGGCCCCCAGGCATGCTCATGGCCATCATCCCCCCGCAGCCTGCTGGCCCGGTGGAGCGCCCTCCTGCAGCAGCTGGAGGCGGCCCTGCAGCTGGCCTTCTACCCGGACGCCGTGGAGGAGTGGCTGGAGGAGAACGTGCACCCGAGCATGCGGCGGCTGCAGGGGCTGCTGCAGGACCTGAGCGAGGCGGCTGCTCCTCGGCCCCCGCCCAGCGACCCCGGCTGGGACGCCAGTCAGGACCCCTGAGGGGAGTGGCCTGTGCACGGGCTGGGCAGCTGTCCGTCGGACCTCCCCCAACAGCTCACTCCCGCCCAAGCCCCCGCAGCTGTGCAGGGCCAGGCAGCCCCCAACGGTGCAATGATCTTTGGGGAAAAAGGAAATATCGGAGGAAAAAGCACATGGGACCTGCTTTATGATCTGCACATAGAACTTTACTCTTTTGAAATAAAAAGAAGAGTGGAAGCCAGAGGTCACGCTAACAGAAAGCCGAAACAGGCGCGGTGGTGCATGTGCTGGCAGTCCCAGTGCTCTGGGAGGCCGAGGCAGGAGGATGTTAAGCCCAGGAGTTGGAGGCTGCAGTGAGCTGTGATGACACCACTGCTCTCTGTCCTGGGACACAGAGTGAGACTCTTGTCTTAAAAAAAACAAAAAAACAGATTTTTCTGTCGCCCACCGTGCAGGTGGTTTCAGTTCAGCCCGGCTCCCTATGGCACAGAGAGGGCACCTGGCCCAGGGTAGCTTCCTCCCTGTCACCTAAAGCACATTCTCACAGCCCGCGGGGTGAACAGACCAGAAACCAGTTACTGCATTTTACACTTCCATTTTAGGAAGAAAAACTGAACTCTGGCCTGTGTACAGCCATGTCCCCAACTAGGGGCTGGCTGCAGCCCCTGCTGAGAAGGAGCTGCCGTGTCTTGCTCTCCCTGAGGTGGCCTGACCCGGGGCAGAGGTGTCATCACCTGTGTGCGGCGCAGGCGCGAAGGCCCTGAGGCAGCCCTGGGCCATTTCCAGCGCTGTCCAGCCCTTCCGCACGGCAGCCTCGTGGGGGGCTGGCCAGGGAGCAGGAGTCCTCAGGTGTAGGCCTGGGGGCCAGCTGTGCGTGCTCAGGGCACGCTGTGCCTTAGAGCCTGGCCCCCTACCCCAGGTCTTCCCCAGGTTCGAGAGAGGATGGACGTCTGTTTCCGCAGAGGTTCGCCCAGTATGTAGGTGCCGCAGGATGTTAGAAGAGTTGACTTGTCCTAGACTAGCAGCTTCTGCCCAGGCTGAGGGTAGGGAGTGGAGGGACCCTCTGCAGGGGCGGCCTGGGTGGGGCAGTCTGCACGGAGGATTCAGTGAGGGGAGGCAGGATCCGCAGTGGCTGTGGGATAGGTGGACGGGCGGTCCGGGGCATCTGCCCTGCGCCTGGCAGCAGTGGCATCCATGTGGCCTGGCCCCAAACTGCACATGGAAGGCTCACTGTGACCTGTGGGCTGAGCTCCCATAGGACTCTGGGGCCGGCGAAACCTTGGGCTTCGGGAAGGCCAGGCCCAGGCGCTGTGCTGTAGAAAGCGTCCTTTTTGTTTCAGAGGCTGCGGGTGGGTCTGTCCAGACCAGGCCACACCACCTGTCACCGTCACACCCCAAACTGCCCCAGCTGAAGCCAATGTCTGACTACAGGGGAGCCACTGATTTCTGAGCCCATGGCCCGTGCCCTCCCCTGCACGCAGCACCCACTTTCCTGCGTCCTCTGACAGACACCCCGCCCGGCCCTTCCTGGCCTCAGAGAAGGTCCAGCCTGTGGTTTAGGAGAGAGTAGAAGCCGCGGCTTGAAGGGGCAGGAGGCAGACTCGGCTGGAGGTGCCATCAAAGCCGAGGCCAAGGGCCTCTCTGTGAGCGGCTCATCTGCAGCCACGCCTGTGCCGTCAGCTCTGGTTCCCAGGGTCGCCGGCCTCGCTGTCACTGCTCTGAGATAGCTCTGCAGGGCTCTCAAGGCGGTGCAGCTCCAGGAAGTTGGTGATGAGCTTGGCAATGGCTTCCACATCACTGGGCAAGGCGGGAGTGGGGACGGGGGGAGGCAGGTCACCCTGGGCCGCGGCAGCACCAGCCCTGTGCAGCCAGCGAGACTCCGTGCCGGTATCGTGCCCGACCACCCACCTGCAGCAGCCCCCGGGGCTCCCAAACCAGACCCAGCACTTCTGTCCTGGTCCCGCCCTCCCCAGACCCCAGTCCGATCCTCTCCCCAGCTGGCAGAGCCATCCGGAGCCCCCCACCGTGCGAGGATGGGCAGCCCTGGCCAGACCGATCACAAGCCCACCTGCGGCGGCCCATGACCGCGCTCTGGGTGAGGGGGTGGGAGAAGCCTGTCGCGAACCGCAGCACCACCGAGTAGCCCTTCCCGAAGTAGCGGACCTTCTCCTCCTCCACGTTCACGTCCCGGATGTCGCTCAGCAGGACCACCACTGTGGGACACAGGTCAGTGGCCGAGCTGGCCCCGCCCGCTTGCGCCACTGGGCGGTTGTGTCGGGGCCGCTGGCTCTGCCGGAACAAGTCACATTTGCGTTGGCAAAACTGTTATTTCACGTCCAAGGCTGGGCCCCAGGGATAGCCGTGACCCTCACCACAGCGTGAGGTCATCTGGGTGAGGATGTGCTCAGTGGCCCCACCGTCACCGCGTTGGCACCACAAGCCTGCGAGTCACCACGCACAGCTTGCTCCTGAGTTCTGACCCGCCAGGGACCCATGGAGCACAAGGCTGCCCGACTTGCTTTCGTTTTTCCCCCAGGCTGAAAAAATGCCTTCCTGGCCCCCAGCTCAGTGACCGGCCCTCAGCCATTTCCTGGGGCCATTCAGGGAAACCACCTCCTCAGGTCCGGGGCGGGCGACCGCCCCGCCTCCACCACCAGGGCTCCGCAGGGCGTCCCCGCAAGCAGCCCGTCAGGAAGCACGCAAACCTGGCGCTAAATCCAAGACCGCTAAGCAACTCTGTCCCCCCCAGGGCTGTGCACTGACTGGTGGTCCCCCAGGTGGCCCCTCACAAGATACCGCCACCTCAGTTAAAAGCACACCCAAAGGGCCTCTCTGCACCTGCACACGGCAGCTGCACGCCCACAGCAGACTGCCTGGGTGGCAGCATCTCCGGAAAGTGGAGACCACGGCTGGACCCGAGAGACTCAGGCAGGCGCTTACCCGAACCACCGGCCTTTCGCCGCAGGCCGCCAGAGCCAGCAGCAGCAGGGCGAGGTCTGGGAGAAGGGTGGCCCCATCCAGAGCCGCCCGCTGGCCGCCATGACTCCGCCTACCTGGCCGTCCTCCAGCCCCACTCCCAAGGCCCCGCAGGAGGGGTGGGGGCGGGGAGAGAACACCATCCAAACAGTGGACCCCGAAGCCAGACCCTGCTCCTCCCACCCTCCCAGGTCAAACCTCCGTGGAGCCCAGGAGTGTGCAGCGCTCAGGTTGCCTGCCTGGCGGCACTGGGCAGGCCAGGCGTGTCTGTGGGACCCCACGTCCCACCAACAGGACATGTCCACAGGCAGGACACAGCACCCAGCAGGCGAGCTTGGACCTGAGGTGTTGCCAGGCCTCCCTGGGCCCTGTGGTCGCCCCCAAGCGTCTGCTGCGCCCAGCCCGAGCCTCCAAACTCCCCGTACCTCACCTTGGTCATGGCCTGCTCTGAACAGAGTCAGCAGCTTCTTGTAGAGGCTGAACGTCTTCAGAACGACCTTCCCCGTGCTCTTGTTGAAGACGGCTTCCTGGAAACCAACACACGCTGAGCACACGCACACCACAGGGTGGGGCCGAGTGGACTGGGGTGTCACCACGCGTGTGCTGGAGAAGGGGCCCTCCCAGTCGGAGCCAGACCCTGGAGCCCCACGTGCGGCTGTCTGGGCTGACGCCCACAGAGCGATCCGAGACTCTCGCCGGCACCACAGGGGCTCGTCCCGCTGCAGCTACGTGCGAGCACAGGACAGCGGCCCAACCGTCCAGCAAGGAAGCGGAGGGCAGAGTCTAACGGGGGCACCAAGAGGGGGGCGGGGCCGGCAGACACACCCCCTCTGCACCCAGCAGCTCCAGGAATGAAAAATGCTGGTGGAAAACAGTCATCAGGAGCTTCTAGGACAAAAACACCTTTAGGAGATGCCCTGGCCCAAGAATGGTCAGAGGCAGTGTCCAGGGGCCAAGTCCCACTAAACGGAAACCGTGAAGCTAGGACTGCTTCAGCGTGGGGAGGCGGCCTTAAGCTGCCTGGAGCCCTCTTCCTGCTTCGATCCCCTCTGCAGGGAGACCCCGGAGCACCTCCCCGCTGGCTGCTCCCCCCACCTGCACCAGGCCTCACCTCCCAATCCTCCAGGTTCTGCACAGCCACGAACAGACAGCCGGTGACGTAGAACAGCTTCCAGCCCAGACTGTCTGGAGCACACACAGGGCGCCGGCCGTGAGTGCAGGAGGGGCCCAGGCGACATGTCCACCAGGGCCCGCCCCGCACAGCCTTCCCCCAGACGCTGTCGTGAGGCCAGGACAGGCATGGGGGGGACTCTGCCACACCTACAGGGACTCCAGGCAGCCGTCTGTGCTGCTGGCCCTGCCTTGGTCCCTCAGGACCCACATGGGACATGCCCTGTCCAGCTCCGCCCCCGGGAGCCCACCTGAGGCAGGCAGGGGTGCACACGGCCTCTGCCCATCTCAGCAGGATGGTGACGGGGGAAAGGTGGGCAGCATGGCGCACCCCTGCAGCAGGACCTCAGGCCTACGCTAAGAACCCTCTTTCAAGGAATATTTTATGACATTTGAAAATGCCTGAGACGTAGGTGAAATGCAGGTTGGGTGGGAAGGTGCGTTCGGAAGAGCACACCTGCACAGGGAGATGGTGCCCTGCCCACCAACACTCTCAAGGCAGAGGTGCCAGAGACCTCAAAGGTCATGCCATGACCCATCACAAACGGCGGTTTTTCCAACAGCTGAGAAAGTTGGGCAGGGGTTTTACCTCCACTGTAGTAGGCAGCTGCCAGGCCAATGGACAAGATTCCTGCAGAGAGAAAGAAAGTCCTTCCCATGAGTCCTCCCGGTGCAGTGGGCTCCTGGGAGCTGCAGCCCCTTCCCGTTGCAGGGATGGCTGTGGACTGGGGCTCAGGGTAGAGACCACCAGGTTCAGAGTGGGGGAAACAGCCAAACAGCTGGTTCAAAAACACAGCACAGCCAGGCGCAGCGACTACTCAGGTAGGCCGATGTGGGAGGATTGATCGCTTGAGCCCAGGAGTTCAAGTCCGGCCTGAGCAACATAGCAAGACCCCATCTCTTACACACACACACACACACACACACACACACACACAGTATACACATTTGGAGCTGCCTGGGGAGTCAGGAAGGAGCCTGTCATGGTGATGCCAGGGCAGCACGTGGTGAAGAATGGAAACAAGACTACATGAAACTCACGGCACAGCACACGAAGCAAAACACACAGGAAGCCACATGCGTGTCTGGGGAACGATGAGTCACAGAGAAGGCATGGCCAGCTCCTCTCCTCACACAGTGACCAGCCCAGTTGACACAAGCGCAGCTGCCCTGAGGGCCCAGGACCCTCCAGCTGGGCAGGGGAAGGGGACAGAGGAGAGAAAAAGGGGGAAGTCCCAGTGGCCCAACACAGGGATCAAAGCAAGTACAAAGGAAAATGCAGTGACTCAGAAAAGCCACCCAACTAACTAACCCAAAGTGTTAGTGAAAAGATGTTAGTGACGAAAAAGACAAACTAGATATGTATTACCTGTAAAACCATGTACATAGGATAAAATCTAAATGTATACAAAGAAACACAGTAATTGCTTTATTTCAGGGTAATAGAACAAAAGAGGAAATACCTCATTTCATTTTCATCCTTTTTTATAATTAGGCTTTCCAGTGTTTTTTTTTTTTTTGGAGATGGGCTCTCACTCTGTTACCTAGGATGGAGTGCAGTGGCCTCATCACAGCTCACTGCAGCCTCAGATTCCTGGGCTCAATTGATCCTCCTGCCTCAGTCTCCTGAGCAGCTGGGACTACAGGCGCCACCACCACGCCCGGCCAGGCTTTCTGTTTGAAGGGCAAACGTGGAAGCCTTACCAACCAGCAGGGACCAGGACCGGATGCCAGGAGCCCTCTTCAGATGGAGGCGGGAGCTGGTGCGCATCTCCACCTGCATGTACATCCCCAGAACGTGCAGGCACCACTCCGTACAGGAGACGGGGTCTGGGGAAGAACAGACACAGACAGCTGGACACCTCGAGCCGCTGCACACAGGTAAGCACCCACCTCATCGGGCGCAGACAGGAGGCCAGGTGCAGACCCGCCAGCAAAGGCGCCTGCAGGCGCACACACTGTCAGCCTGCCTGACTTGGTCTCTGCGGTCAGGCAAGCCACTTTATCCCCGGGGGACTCCACTTCCTCTGCGAGGAAGGCCCTCTTCTGCTCACAATTACACTGACTGCGCTGGGGCTACTTCCCCCACAAACATTTGAGAAGTGTCAGCCTGATCCCCACAGGCCACCATACCTGGAAACTAAGTCTCAAGGAGACTTAGTTAGGCCCCAGCAGCCCTCAAGCTTCCGGCACCCTCCCAGAATCCCAGCTCTCCCCTGTGCTGGCCTCCACCAAGAAGGGGAACTGAAGGTCTCGTCGTGGCTTGAGTCCACCCTGGCAGGACTGAGAAAGCCAGCTCTGTCTCTGCTGTCCTGCCGCTGCTGAAACTCCAGACTACTCCGCGGAGGGTCTGAAGGCACCGCTGGTATCAACCAGTCACCAAAGGCTAATCTTCCCCAGTGCTCTGAGGGGGCTACAACAGCCGGGCACACTGTCAATGCGCTCAAAACGCTGGCTCCGGGGACCCAGCTCTGGGAAGTTTCTCAGATACTTCCCTGCAGAGTCAAATCAAACTCCTCACATTAAATAGTGGATTCAAATCACACAAACGAATCCTAAATCACCTCCCTCCTGGCCTCAGTTACCGACGAGGCTCCAAAAACGTGCCTGCCCCCCCGCAACACGCATGCACACACACATGCACGCGTGCACACACATGCATGCACAAACGCGCGCATGCACACACATACACGCGTGCACGCATATGCGCGCGCACCGACCACGCGCCTCTGCCCGGGCCGGGGCGCCCCCGCTGCGACGGCCCCGACACCGAGGCCGTGGGCGCCGCCGGCCACGCGACAGCCGGGTGGAAGACGGGTCCGGCGGCAGCGCCCAGCCTCCGGCCGACGCCCGGCTCCCCGCGGTTGCACCGCGCGTGGTCACAGCGACGTGACTGCAGGACACGCGCGGCCTCCCGCCCCCGCCTACCGAGCGACGAGCCCGCGCGGTGGCCGAGGGACACGAACCGGCGGACTCGGGGCGGCGCGGCCTTCCGGGATCGGGACCGGACGGGCGGACTTCCGGAGCCGGGCGGGGCTGACTTCCGGAGCGGGGCGGGGCCCAGGCTAACACTCGGTGTGTGGATGTCAATAATTTCTCCGTCGCTGCGGGGGAGCCGTGGGTCGCGGAGAGGCGTGAAAGCCACCTCGGAACCCCCAGAGATACGGTGCGCCTCGGGTTAATCTAACAAAAGAGACAGCACTTCATGGTAAAACTGTAAATTTGGGGGTTTTTTGGGACAGCGTCCTACTCTGGCCCAGGCTGGAGCGCTGCGGTGCGTTCGCAGCTGCTGCAGCCTCGACCTCCTGGGCTCCAGGATCCTCCCACCTCAGCCTCCCGGGTAGAGCCCCGGGCTCGGCCCATGATTTTGTGGTTAGCAGAGTTGGCATTGTTACTGTGAGGCACTGTCAAGTAGTGTGAGAAAATGCAAATGAGTAATTATGTAGGGGCTCCTGGGAACCAGGAATTTCAGCAGGGGAGAAAGGACTGTCAATGGAAAAGAACCCAAATTCTGTAAAGTAATTTTCCGTGGTTTATTGTCAGCCACGGCAAAGAAGCCCTGCGCAAGTGGTCTCACTGTGGTGGGGTTACAATTTGGTTTTATACATTTCAGGGAAACCGGAATTAACACATAAAGTCATACATAAAGTAATACATATAAAGCATACATTAGTTTGGCCCAAAACAGCAGGACATCTCGAAGCAGGGGGGGACTGGTTATAGGTGGGTTTAAAGATTCTTTTATTTGTAATTGGTTGAAGAAATGAAGCTTTATGTAAAGACTTAGAATGTTCTACGTTAACATAAGGAAGTCTGTTAATCAGAGACGAGCCACTGGACACATACCCAGACTCAAGTGATGTGTTAAGTAAATTGGTGACCTGCAGGTGTGGTTTAATCTCTGCCTTACATGGCCTTATGCTGGTTAATGATTTTGCATCTTATTGTTAAAAAGAGTAACTCCAAAAGTGACAGGGCGTAACTAGGTGTGTCTGACTTCCCTTCTCCTCATGGCCAGCAATTCAACTTTAAGGTTTTTTGGGGGGGGTCCCCTTGGCCAAGAGGGGGGGTCCATTCACTTGGCTTGGGGTGGGGGCTTAAGATTTTATTTTAGTTCACAAGAGTCACACATGTAAGATCAACAAGGTTAAATAAGAACCCCGTATTCCTGGATTTGAATTAGAAGTACCAGTGTAAATTCACAATCTATTTTGTCTTTTCAAAACCACTCTTTATAAATTTTTATTTAAAGCCAGTCAAATTTAGCAATGGGGGGTTGAATACCAACTTTAGTGACACTAATGTTAATAAGTTCTGATAACCCACTACCATCGGGCCAGCCCCTTTATAAAATTAATAAAAGGTCACAAGTGGAACTGTGGTAGGGACCTGAATTCTGCAAAGGTATAGGCATAGTTAAAATATATATATGTGTGTACATATATGTATATATGTGTGTGTGTATATATATATATAAAAAACCAGCCATTGTCCCCTAGTTTGCTTTCCTATAATTGCTACTCAGGAGTCACATAGCTGATGAATCATCTCAAGGAACTGGAAAAGGAAGAGCAAACCAATCCCACACCCAGCTGAAGAAAATAAATAACTAAGGTCAGAGCAGAGCTAAACAAAATAGATTCCAAAAGATTTATACAGAAGATTAACAAAACAAAAAGTTGATTCATTGAAAAGATAAACAAAATCAACAGGCCTCTTGCTAGAATAACTAAAACAGAAAAGAAAGGACCCTAATAAACTCAGTCAGAAATGAAAAAGGAAATATTACAGTTGATACCACAGAAATACAAAATATCTCTGAATACTATTCAAATCTCTATGCACATAAACTTGAAAAAGTCAAGGAAATGGACAAATTCTTGGAAACACACAACCTCCCTAGGCTCAATCAGGAAGAAATAGAACTCCTGAAGAGACCAATATCAAGTAACAAAATTGAGGCAGCAATAAAACACCTTGCCACAAAAAAAAGTCCCAGGCCAGATGGTTTCACAGCCGGATTTTGCCGGACATACAAAGAAGAACTGGTACCTATACTGCAGAAATTATTTCATAACATTGAGAAGGAAAGAATCCTCCCCAACTCATTCTACGAAGCCAATATCACCTTGATACCAAAGCCAGGAAAGGATATGACAAAAAAGAAAACGACAGACCAATATCCCTTATGAATATAGATGCAAAAATTCTCAATAAAATCCTAGCAAACCGAATTCAGCTGCACATCAAAAAAATAATCCACCACAACCAGGTTCATTTCATCCCAGAGATGCAAGGATCGTTCAACATATGCAAATCTATAAACGTGATTCACCACATAAATAGAAGCAAAAACAAAGACCATGATCCTCTCAATAGACACAGAAAAAGCATTTGACAAAATTCAGCACCCTTTTATGATAAAAACTCTTAACAAAGTAGGCATAGATGAAACATACTTCAAAATTACAAAATCCGTATATGACAAATCCACAGCCAACATCATACTGAATGGGGAAAAATTGAGAGTATTCCTGCTTAGAACTGGAACCAGATAAGGTTGCCCACTGTCACCAGTTCCATTCAGTATAGTCCTGGAAGTCCTAGCCAGAGTGATCAGG